AGATATGAGCGCATTCTTGATCGTTTCTTGTAGGGGGAACATTGTGGCAATGAACTCTCTCAGCTTTTGTTTACCTGGGAAAGTTTTTTTGTATAATGTTGGGGTTTTTTTGTTTTTACTTATTTATCTATTTTTGAGGAAGATTAGCCCTGAGCTAACACTGCTGCCAACCCTCCTCTTTTTTGCTGAGGAAGACTGGCCCTGAGCTAACATTCGTGCCCATCTTCCTCTACTTTATACGTGGGACACCTGCCATGCATGGCTTGCCAAGAGGTGCGTAGGTCCTCACCTGGGATCTGCACTGGCGAACCCCAGGCCACAAAAGTGGAACATGTGAACTTAACCACTGTGCCACTGGGCCAGCCCCTATCTGGGAAAGTTTTTATTTCTCCATCGTATCTGAAGCATAGTTTCACTGGATAGAATATTCTCCGTTCAAAGTTTTTGTATTTCAGTATTTGAATATTTCAGTCCACTGTCTCCTAGTCTGTAAGATTTTTGCTGAGAATTTCACTGAAAGCCTGATAGGGGTTCCTTTGTAGGTTATTTTCTTCTGTCTTGCTGCCCTTAATATTTTTTCCTTGTCATTGACTTTTGCCAGTTTTACTAATATATTCCTTGGAGAAGGTTTTTTTACATTGGTGTAAGTAGGAGTTCTCTTAGCTTCATTTATGTGTTTGGTAAGTTCAAGTCCAAGTTTGGTAAGTTCTCAGCTATTCTTTCTTTCTTTTTTTTTTTAAAAAAAAATCAGCACCTGAGCTAACAACTGTTGCCAATCTTCTTTTTTTTTTTTTCTGCTTTTTCTCCCAAAATCCCCCCAGCACATAGCTGTATAATTTAGTTGTGGGTCCTTCTAGTTGTGGCATGTGGGATGCTGCCTCAACATGGCCTTGTGAGTGGTGCCATGTCTGTGCCCAGGATCCAAACCAGAGAAACCCTGAGCCGCCTAAGCAGAGTGCACAAACTTAACCACTCATCCATGGGGCCAGCCCATCAGCTCTTATTTCTTTGAGGAAGCTCTCTGCTCCATTCTCCCTCTCCTCTACCTCTAGAATACCCATAATCCTTATGTTGCATTTCCTGATTGAGTCAGATATTTCTTGGAGAATTTCTTCATTTATTTTTAGTGTTAGTTCTCTCTCTACTTCTTCACCTGAAACATGTCTATATTTCTGTCCTCTAAATTACTAATTCTGTCCTCCATAATATCAGCTCTGTTTTTTAAGGATTCCAAATTTTAAAAAATCTCATCCATTGTGTTCTTCATCTCCAACATTTCTGATTGGGTTTTTTGTTTGGTTGTTTCAATTTATTTTGTGAAGAATTCCCTCTGCTCATTAATTTTATTCCTGAATTCATTGAACTGTTTTTCTGAGTTTTCTTGTAACTTGTTGAGCTTCTTTATGATAACTATTTTGAATTCTCTGTCATTTACACTGTAAATTTCTGCGACTTCAGGATTGGTTTCTGGTTACTTGTCATTTTCCTTCTGGTCTGGAGAGTTAATATATTTCTTCATGTTGTTTGATGGGGTGGACTTTTGCCATTGCATAGTGGTAGTATCTGGTTGAGGATTCCACCTGTCACCACTGAGGAGGCAGGGGCTGTGTTTGCTGAGCCTGCCACACCCCCTGGCAATTGTACCAGTCTGTTGGAAGCTGTGCTGATATGGCTTTCTGTGTCTGGCTGCTGCTGCTTTACACACATAGGCACAGGTGCTTTAGCAGAGATCCCCTGCTCTGGCTGACCAGAGCTGATGTGCCAGGTGGGATGAGGGGAGAGGGGACACCTTCTTTTACACCCACATTCCCATTCTGCATTCACTGGCTCCCTGCTTGGGCTGATCAGCTTGGGAGGGTGCCCTTGGGGTTGCTTACCTGCCTTGCTGTGGAGCATTCCCACAGGCTGGGAGGCAACTCCAAGAGTGAAGGTGTTCTCATGGAGGGCTGCCTTTTCTCCCTTCTCCTCTCAGAGTTGTGCACTGACTGCCACTTGGGATCCTGCACCTTAGATTGCTGCTGCTGGGGAGGGAGAGGAGATCTGCATACCTCCTTCCACTGCCTCCCCGGGGGTCCAGCACTACCACCTTCAGATGTATGGCTGTGTGGATCTCTCAGACATCTATTGTGTTGTGTGGATGTCCTCTGTTGATTTATGAATGTCCATTTTGTTGTATGTTAGGGGGGAGAGACTAAGAGAAGAGCTCACTCTGCCATGATGCTGATGTCACTTCTCTCTTCCTCTTTTTATAAGGGCACTAATCCCATCATGAGAGCTCCACCCTCATGACTTCATCTACACCTAATTACCTCCCAAAGGTCCCACCTCTAAATACCATCACATTGAGGATCAAGGCTTCACCATAAGTGTTTCAGGGGAACACAAACATTCAGTACATAATAGGAGGCACTTGATCTTGCTTTGTTCATTATTGATGAGGTTAATTTTCCTCAGTTGGTTAAGGTCATCCTGCATTTTGAATAAGAGGACCAAAGGTCTTTGGTTTTGGAGAAAGACCTTCAAAAATCTTATTGCTTATTGTAAGTTATTTTAAACTTGCTTCAACTGGCATAAATTACTTCAAGATCATAAAACAGGTAAACCAAAATGATTTGCATGGTTAGTACCATGAATTTCTCTCTTTATATTCCAGATAAACCTTGCATTTTCTTTATTTACTTTCAAAGTCTCAGATAAACATTTCAATTATAAATCATTCAACAGAGAAATCTTGCATTTCTGCAAGTCTATATTATATTCTCCTGCCATCCCTCAATCTCTGGAAGAGCTCTCTGCATTGAACATTTTTTATGTTTAAGACATGCCCATGAACAAACTTTTTATGCAGATGTTGCATTTGAACCATTCTATCTTCTATTCATTTAAACCTTTCATATACATTTTTATATATGAAATATATTGGATCAGATTTTTCAAGGCCAAATGTTTCCCATTTTATTGAATCTCCCTCATAGTGGCTTTTATCCATGTGTGTGTATGTGTGTTTAAATCATAAGTTCGTATTTGATTAACCTTAAGCTCTAAGAGTTCTGAGTGCATAAGCTGCAATTAGTTTCCTCCTGAAAAGGTTTTCGCTTGCTTTTGTGGTTAGCCGCAGGACATTACCAATGCAGGAACATTTTAAACTCCTTCAAGAATTCCAACTTGGTAAGGGATTAATATCCAGGATATATAGAGAACTCCTAAAACTCAACACCCAAGAAACAAAACTCTGTTCAAAAATGGGCAAAAGATTTGAATAGACATTTCTCCAAAGAATATATACAAATGGACAATAAGCACATGAAAAGATGTTCAACATTACAGGTCATTAGAGAAATGCAAATCAAAACTATAGTGAGATACCAACTTACATCCATTAGGATGGCTGCTGTCAAAAAAACAGAAAATAACAAGTGTTGACAAGGATGTAGAACAATTGGAAACTTTATGTGCTGTTGGTAGGATTGTAAAATGGTACCACCACTAAGTGAAATAAGCCTGTCACAAAAAGACAAATACTATATGATTCCACTTACATGAGATGCTTAGAGTAGTCAAAATCATACAGACAGGAAATAGAATGGTGATTGGCAGGGTCTGGGTGAATGGGGAGTTATTGTTTAATGGGTATGGAGTTTCAGTTTGGGATGTTGAAAAGAGTTATGGAGATGGATGGTGGTGATGGTTGTGCAACATTATGAGTGTATTTAATACCACTGAACTGTACACTTAAAATGGGTAAGATGGTAAATTTTATGTTATATGTATTTTACCACATTAAAAAAATTGAAAAAAAATGGTACAGTTGCTGTGGAAAACAGTATGGTGGTTTCTCAAAAAATTAAAAATAGAATTACCATATGATCCAGCAATTCTACTTCTGTGTATGTGCCCCAAAGAATTGAAAGCAGGGTCCCAAAGAGATGTTTGTACACCCATGTTCCTAGCAGTATTATTCATGATAGCTAAAATGTGGAAGCAACCCAAGTGTCCATCAATAGATGAATGGATAAGCAAAAGGTATAAATGTACAACAGGATATTATTCAGCCTCAAAAAGGGAGGAAATTCTGACACATGCTACAACAAGGAGGAATCTTGAGGTCATTATATTAAATGAAATCAGCCACTCATACACACACGAAAACAAATACTATATGATTCCACTTATATGAGGTACTTAGAGTAGTCAAAATCTTAGACAGAAAATAGGATGGTGGTTGTCAGGGGCTGGAGTGTGGGGGAATGAGGAGTTATTGTTTAGTGGGTATAGAGTTTCAGTTTTACCAATGAAAAGAGTTATGGAGATGGATGGTGGTGATGATTATACAACATTATGAATATATTTAATATCACTGAAATGTACATGTAAAAATAGTTAAGATGGTAAATTTTATATTATGTGTATTTTACTACAGTAAAAAAATTGGGGGAAGAAAGCCCCCAGCTTAATGTGGGAGCGTCAATTTCAGTTCCCCCATCATGTGGGAAATCTAGGATTCATCTCCACATTCCAAGTTGGTTTTAGCATTTGCTACTTTACTGCCTGCTGTTTCTGTTTCAGCTCACTTTTTCCATCTGCTTTCTGAGAGCCTAGTCATGCATTAAATGGGTAGAGTTCATGAACATCTAGTTGATTTGCAGAGGCAGGGCCCTTCGGAGTAACATGGGCCCCCACCCCTCTGGAGATTCTTTTCTTTTTGAACCTGATTCTTGTCAGAAACTTTCAAGTAGACCCTTGAAATATGAATGTCTCCTTTTAAAATGACTGCCATACCATTGTAAAACAGTTTTACACACTTTCTTTAGGATGAAAGAATGAAAGGGATTGATTGAAACATTATTTCTCATAGAAGTGGAGCTAGTCAAAGGGAATCCTTGTCCCAAAACTGAGATGTTTGCAGAAAGAATGATGGGATGGATGTAAGTGGCATGGCTTCTGAGTCTCTGTTAAGTCCGTACCTCCTAATCAATTCTTGTTTTCTCTTCTATGTCAAGCACAAATATTTGAAAACCATGATGGGTCTCCAGCAGACACAGAGAAAATAAAGACTCATTGCCAGTGCCTTGAAGGACAAGACCCCCAGCAACTCCTGCCTGCTCTAGTGGAGCTGCTAAACCACCTGCTCAGAGCTCCAACCACTCTGCTCCAAGGCTGGGGCCCAGCCCAGAACACACAATGACCTGCCTGCCAGGAGGAACGTCCTTCAAAGGACACCCTTGCTTATCTTCTCAGAATACTTTTGGTTTCAGTTTACTGGCTTTGGTGCAGGGATAGGATAAAATCACTTTCTAGTCTGGACTTTTAGTGCTCATCCAAGAACTTTATTTCCTGTCTGTGAGGATGTCTTCCCTGTGTACAGGTGGGGTCAGAATTGAGTCCCCAGTAAAAAAGTGAAAAAGTAGCTCAGCCAGGCTCCTCCTGGCAGGCCTTTGTCCCACTTGTCAGCTTCTTTCCTTTCCTGAATGGACATCCTTGGGGTGAGCTGGGTCTGAGGAACCCTGGTTTTCACAGCTCCCTCAGACTGTAGGTCCTCTCAGGGCATCCTCTCTGTGTTCCTGAGCCAGTGAAGGCAAGAGGCCCTCATTCCTTAGTAACCAGGAGAGGATTGGGTCTCGGTTTAAATGGCTGAAAGGCCACCATTCTTTTTTTTTTCATCTTGAAGTAAGAAGAGGCTTCAGATGAGAGCAGTCCTACCATGAAGTTTGCAGCAAGAGCCCCACAGTGTGAGGCTGTCTGGCAAGGAGATTGCAGAACCTGCACCAGAAGGAAGGTTGAACTAAATGACATCCGCCAGTGAAAGACCCTGTGATTCTGTTCTTCAGTCCATCAGTGAGCAGATGGATAGTTTTGTTGAAGAGACAAAGGAGGCTTCTCTTAAGGTCTCTGCTGTCTCTGCTGTCCAGACCCTTTCTCTTTCATGGACTGATACATGATGTCCTGACACAGCTTTTAGGGACTCCTGCTACACCAAGGTTTTCTAGGGCAGCTTTGAAGTCCCCCGACTTCACTCCCCTAGGTGACATACACAGGGACTGTCACTGACCAGCACTAATGGTGTGCACACAGCTGTGTTGTGAGTCCTCATGTTTCCTTTGGTTGTGGCCAAACAGGCAGGTCTGCCCAGGCTCTGCTGCTCACCTTGCCAGCTATTGCAGGGCTTAGGCAGAGAGTTCTGATTCTTTCTTTTCTTGGCTGTGCCTCCCTTACTGGGACTTTTTTGGGGTTCCTGGGTCTTTGGGGCATCTCAGGAAATAGGACATAACCAACAGAGGGTGCATCATCTTGTTGGGGCCAGGGGAAGCAGCCATTTGTGGCATTATCAATCCCCTTTCCCTTCATTCCCCATCACTGGCTAGAATGGCATGTGGCATTCTGGACATCCTTCCATAGAATTTCTGGACAGCCAGTCTTGAGGCCTGCTGGTTGGGGCAAGCTGGGCCTCTCTTGTGGTGGTTGGTCACTCTAGCTCATTCATCACCACATAGGCCTCTCTGGTCAGTTCTGGCACAAACTGAAACAAGTAATCATCAGGGTGGAGAAAGCCACAGGAATAAGCCAGGATGGTGCTCGGTAGATCACTGTCCACACAAATTCCTCACAGGAGCAGATGCTTCCAACATGACAGGGAGCTAGGGGGCATCATGTCCAGTCAGGTAGGCCTGTTCTAGAAAATAGTTCCTGCTGAGCTAATCTGACCATCAAAATCACCCCTGAAGGGACTTCCAATTCCATCAATGTGACAGATAAAATAACCTGAAAACACTCATACTGCAAACAGAGATGCTGGCTGAAGTATGACAGTCTTTTAAATGCAAGGCTAAATTAGCAGGAAAGAAGAGGAACTGCCAGGAGCTAGAGAACTGAAAACCAGAGTGGTCCGTGTGTGAAGTGGCTGTGGCAGCTAGAGATGGGTAGAAGGTGTGTGAGTAGATTGCTTCTCTTGAGCGTTAATGTCCACATAAGTATGAGAGATAAGACTTTGGCCCACTCCCTATAAGAAGTTGGAAATGGGACCCCCTGCATAAAACTGGCACCCTGACACCCTGAAGGCTTCATCCTTGATGAAGAGGTGAGCTGGAAAAAGTTCCCCCACTGGCATGGAGAAATAACAAGGAAACTTTCCCAGAGATAAGAGGGAACAGGTCCTGTGAGAATTTGCAACCACGCACAGGATTGAGATGCAAATTTATACTGTGTGGTCCAGGAACCAAAAGGCTGAGAAATTAGCATAAAAATCACCCCAAGTCTGTAGAACCAAATAAAAAAATCTACATACTGTTTACCTAGCTACACAGCATTCCCACAAAGCCCTAGTAAACATGAGCTCCAAAGATTAAAACACACGCACGTGTGTGCATGTGCACATGCGTGCACAAAAACAACTTATCATGTGGAGGTACAATGAAAGCAGGATCAGACTTATAAGAGCTTCAGATAACAAATTACTCGATAAAGATTGTACTGTATATATATGTTTTACATAAAGACAAAAGTAGGAATCAAAAATATGATAAAGGCTATCAAAATAGATCACAGATTTTTTTAAAAGCAGAGTCTCTAGGAATGAAAAAAATGTATTTCTTTTTTTGAGAATTCAGCTTTTTATTGAACATGTTACAAGAGGTTTAGTCAAAAAGACCAAAGCCCATGTCATCATCAGACTCCTCAATTCTTCTTTCTTGGCTTCCACTTTCTTCTCCTCAGCTGGGGCAGCAGTGGTGGAGGGGGCAGGACCTCCTGCTGGTCCAGCACCAGCTCCTGGGGCGGGTCCACCAGCTCCTACACTGCATATGAGGCTGTTGATGGTGACATTGGCCAGGGCCTTTGCGAACAAGCCTGGCCAGAAAGGTTCAACATTTACACCAGCTGCTTTAATGAGAGCGTTGATTTTATCCTCCATGACCATCACCTCATCGTCCATCAGCAGGATGAGGGCCGGGTAGATGCAGGCAAGCTCCAACTCAGAGGCCATGGTGCTAGTGCTGCCGGGTACGGTGCTAGTCGCTGGGTGAAGTGAGGCCCTCACCCCAGTGCAGCCTTAGCTTCCTCGGAAGGACCAAGCACCTTAGCAGCAGCTGAGGAAAGCAAGAAAATGTATTTCTAAAAGTTCAAACGACAGACTAGAAACAGTGAGAGAGAGGGAGAATGACCTGGATGTTGGATCTGAAAAAATTGCCTGGAATTTTAGCATAGAGGGATGAAGAGGAGAAAATCCGAAAGCATGGATAAGAGACATGGTGGGCAGATTGAGAAGATCGAGTATACGTCTAATCACAGATCCAGAGGAGATAATAGGGAAATCACTCTTGGTAATCTCATCCAGTCTCATGGCTTTAAACATCATCTGTATGCCAACTTTCAGTTTTATCCATCTAGCCTGGACTGCTCTCTTGAGCTCCAAACCTGTATAGCCAACTGCTAACCTGGCATCTCCACTTGAATGTCTTTTAAGACTCCTACAAATCAACATGTTTAAAACTAAGTGCCTAATTGCCCCCCAAATATGCTCCATCCACAGCCTCCTTTATCTCGGCCCAATTGCTCAGGCTAAAGTCCTTAGTTTGTACTTCACTCCTCTCTTCCTCTCATGTCCCACAGCAAACCTGTCAAGAAATTTATCAGACGTTGCCTTCCTACTACATTAATAATCTGACCATTTCTCACCACTTCTATTGTCTCTACCCTGATCTAAGCCACTATCATCTCTTGCCTGGATGTTGCGATAGCTTCCTAACTGTGTCCTTGCTTCCTCCCTTGCTTTCATATAGTCAGTCTATTTCCTGAACGGCAGCCTCGTCGATCCTTTTCAAATATGTTAGATCGCATCACACCTCTTCTCAAACTCTTAATGGCTCCTGTTTCTCTCAGAGTGAAACCCAAGTCCTTAAAACAGCTCACAAGACCCTACACGATCTTGCCTCCTGAGACTTTACTTTCGTCTCCTGTCCCTTGGGCACTCTGTTCTGGCCACATGGGCCTCCTTACTGTTCTGGCACTGGCTGATCCCTCTCCTGAATTATTCTTCCCCCAGATGTCCACGTGGCTCACTCCCTCACTTCCTTCGAGTCTTGGCTTAAATGTTATTTTCAGTAGCAGAGGCTGTGGTACCTGATCGTAGTCCCTTGTACTTGCCATTCCTGCTAATGGCTTCCTACTGAAAGCACCTGCAACCTTCTACATACAGCCTTTCTCAGCCATAGGTAGTGATCTGCTGCTGAGTGGGCCCAAATGCCAGAGAGTTAGCACCTTTAGGAGCAACCCTCAGCCAATGAGTCAGTGGATGAGTACCCCAACCTTCTCTCCCTTGGGTGGGGCAACCCTGAAGCATGTTCTCGACTATTTCTGTTGACTTCCCAATATAAAATACACGCACATATACAAAAATGGAACAAAAAAAAAGTTGCTATATTAAGTTAGTGGGATCGTCAATGAAATAATATTCTAAAATATTTAAAGTTGCTTTAATAATGCTATATAAGTTTTAGAAACACATATTATAAAAGTATAATGAAAAAGATAAGATTGAACCAATATAGCACCCAAGATTTCTTTCTAAAATTCTGAGATTCCAGGTAGGACAAAGAGCTCCAGATAATCCTGCCTGTCTTCCGTGATCTTTAATCTGAAGGGCTCAGACAGCTCTGTTGCTATTTCCTCTGGCATTGCATGGAGGTTTGAATCCATTTGCCCCACCAACAGCTGGGCCCAGGGAGTCTCACTCTGAACTTGACTGTTGATCAGTGGGTTGCAGTTTTCTGAGGTGATACGACGTAGGGATAGAGCACGGATGTTGGACCGAGACATCTGAGTTTAAATCAGGCCTCCATATCTTACTGGCATTGGACCTTGGGCAAGTTGTCCAAAGTCCCTGCATTCCTTTCCTTATGTGTAAAATGATAGTAATCCTGGGGCTCTGTGAAATGAAGGAATCAATGTATATCTAGTTCAAAGCAGGGCCTCAACCAACTGAAACTTCCATGACAGTAACAGTAAGTATAATAATACTAAAGATAGGAATGTGCCCAGCATTACTTCTGATGGATGGTGAGCAGACACATACACCAACCAATGTTAGTCTCCCTTTCCACTCTCCAAAATGGATTTTGCCTTTGAAAAAGAAGTGATAGACTGGCATTATCTTTCTCCAATTAATCCTGACTGTGATGGCTTTTTAAGACCAAACCAAAAGTTAACAGTAGATGTAGCTGCTAAAAATATACCCAGTGCCATCCTGGGCTGTGCTACTGGAGGTTAAGTGTCTTGGGTCAGGGAAGTCATACTTCCACTGTACACCACATCTGCCGGGCTATACTTGGAACTTCATGTCAAGGGCTAGAAGCCATGCTTTAAGTGGACAGACTCCCTGGGGAGGGTGACTGGCATCACGAGAGGCTCTGAAACCTCTGTCAGGCAAGGAATAATTACAGAAACTAGTGGCATTCAATCTGAGAAGAGAAGTCCAAAGGGGGCAGATTTCTGTCATGTTGGGAAGAAAAAATGAGCCGAGAGTTTTCCAACCCTGGGATGGATGGTCTTGGTGCAAACTGGGTTCCCAGTCGCTGGAGGATGCAATCAGTGTCTGGGCAGCCCCAGTCAAGGTCCATGTGAGAGAAATCCTCAAACCAGGAATAAAGTCTTGAAGGCCTCTCGGTTCCTTCTAAATCTAAATTCTGTGATTCTATAAAAGCAATTGTGGAAAAGTTATTTAATATATCAGTTGAAAATTACATCATATACATAGATATTCACACATATATATGAATGAAAAAGACTAAAATGTCAGAGTGGTTGTTTCTAGGACCAGACCTGGTGGCCTAGTGGTTAAGTTCTGTTCACTCCACTTCAGCAGCCTGGGTTCAGTTTCCAAGTGCAGACCTACCCCACTTGTCTGTTAGCATCATGCTGTGGCAGTGACAAACATTAAAAAAAAAAAAAAAAGAGGAAGATTGGCAATGAATGTTGGCTCAGGGCTAATCTTCCTCAGCCAAACAACAAAAAAAAACAACAAAGTGGTTGTTTTTGGGTGAGGCTGGATGTGATTTTTTCCCCTTTAAATTATTTATTTTATTTATTTTCTCTATTAAATATGAATTGCTTTTATTAACAAAAGTAACATTTAATTTATAAAGAATATTTTTATTAAGAAAAACAACCTATCTATGAGCAGATGAAAGACATTTCTACCGGCTCAGCTTTCCAACAATAAAGGGAGAGGCGCCCTATTTGTGGAAATCTATCAGCAAAGGCTGGAAGAAAGAAGAGGGAGCCTTGCAGGTATGGAAGAGACTTACCTCGAGGGCCGGCCATGATTGTGTGATTCGATCGCCAAATGGCTTGAAAGAAACTGATTTCTAAACCCAGGTGGGATTTTCCTGCTACAAGCTTCTTGAAGGAGAATCTGCTCTGTCCAGAATAGCTGTAAAAAGCATTAAGAGGCTGAAGTTGACTGGATGTGGAATAGACAAATATTGTTCTTAAATTTGGGAATGATGGCAAGGGCAGAGATGGCAAGGGTGGAAGGATCCTTCTTTGCTATAGGGCTGTGGCCTGGCCTTCTCCTGCAGAAGGGGAGAGGGCCTGAAGGAGGGACCTAGAAAGCTCCCAAAAGGCTGGGAGCATGAAGAATGTGGGCCTGTATGTGGCCAGGTACATGAAACAGGAACACAGCATCTGAGAATCCCATACAAGTCCAGGTGCCACCACTCAGAGTCTGTGACCTTGGGTGCCCTTACTTGTCCGAGGTTCAGTCTCTGCCTCTGTAAAATGGGGGCAGCAGCTATTACAGCCCTCCCCACAACAGGGATGCCAAAAGAATCATGGGAGATAATGTCTATGAAGACTGCAATGTGAAGCCTTCCATAAATATCTGTTATTATTCCTGTTCCCTTAGAATGGCAGAAAGTCCTATTAGGTAAGAATCTCTTCTGTTTGGGTTAGAGCCATGGAAAAGAAAGAATTGGGAGTTTTGACACCTCGTAAAGCATTAAAAAGTCCCAGAACTGTAGAAGAACAAAGTGGCGGTGGAAGCAGCAGCAGCAATAGTGTCCAATCCAAGAAAGATTTTGGACCTTAAACTTGATGTTACTCAAGCTTGACACGAAACCAAGCTCTGCTAAATCACCAACGGATGACTGGATGTTAGTGAGAGTGACACCGAACGGTACTTAGGTGTTTCCATTTCTTCAAATCTTCCTCTAAGTTTTGTTACCATCTGTTTGAATATTCTA